GCCTGAGCTTTTGCTATAGTCACTATTTTAGTCACTTGTTTGACCAATAATCTGTTCTGTAGTATAACTTCCACCTTGTATTGGGTATTTTAATCTCTTCGTTTGCCACATAAGGTAAAAATAATAGGAAACCACGAGCTCCGACTGTAAAAGAGTGAATCTCCAAGTTATATTTTACCCCAAAAAGAAGAAAATGTAATTATATATTGCAGTATTAGAGTACCACAAAGATTTTTTTTATCTCGTTTATTTCTTAATAAATTCTTAGCAATTCACATTATATTAGAGTAATATTAAAAGTTGAAATAAATATTTAAATAATAATAGAATATAAAGCTAAATATATTTTGCATGGCAACTAACATTTGTTTGCATCACAGTTTTGGGAGTTGAGGTGGATTGTCATGAAAATAGTCCCTACAAAAAATGTCTAAAAATAGACTTCAATTTCAAATTCTTATTATTAGTATTTTTTGTTTGTTTTTTGGGGTATAATATGACCTTCTTGATAGGCTTCATGAGATACACTGATAATAAAAATTTTTTACACTGGATAATAATTTACCTGTGGAGCTATTAATGACGTATTATGGCTGCATGTCATTTTTTAATTCTAAAATTTGCAAGCTTTTATTAATCAAAGGGGGGGGGGGGGGACGTTCATTTTACACGCATATAAAATAAATCATAACATTAAAAAAAAGTAAACAATTGCACCTTCCCAGGAAAACAGGATTAAAACACAATCTGCAGGGAGAGAAGGCGTTAGAGCCACAGAATGAGCGAATGCCTGTAAGGATCTTATTGAATCACTACGTTAACCGTTTGGTTTAGGGCCCTGTTGTAATACACAAGCTTCCACGTTCCTAACAGTTACTGCTGAACCTTTAATACAATGCACATATTTTGTTCAGTCTGGGCGCGGCGTCTTACACGGTACAGGCTTATTCAGGTGAATCTGGTGCTGAACCGTTTTCTTGACAGATTTCGTAGGTGTTTTCTTTCGGATTACAAAATCCGATGTTGTCGTGGTGCTCTCTCCGCAATCTGGAAAACCAGCACACGCTCGTGCATGCATACAAACAAACACGCACACACTGATTAAAAGATGTACACACACTGGGAAAATACAAGATCACAAAACGACAACAAAACTACTGGGGAACTTCAACTCATCCTTTTGTTTCTCTTTGTGTATTTTTTTTTTTTCTTGTACTGTGAATGGTAGTCTCTCTCAGACTGTATAATTGTGTATATAATTTGGGTTATTTATCATTTTAATTTTCTGTCTTTTTTGTTATTTTTTTTGGTGTGTGATTGCTCTTATTTTGTTTCAGAGCAGAGCACAACATGTGCAAAGTGTGTATGTACTTGACTCGCAGTCTAAAAAGACATGGTGCTACAATCTGTACAACTTTAGACTGCTTATTTATATTAAGATCATCAACAAAAAAAAAGAAATGAATAAAGATTTTGGTGGTGCTTTTAACACAGGGATGTTTTCAAGCCTTGCGGCATTTATTTTTCCTATATTTATAATGTAATCATAAGATTTGGCGCCCAGCACGAAGAAAGACTCGCTTGTTTGGATCAGTGCCGTTTTTATATAGAAGAAACACCTTTTCGTCTTAATTTACCTTAAAGAAGCATGAAAGTACATTGCAGAACTTTATAGGATGATTTTTTTTTTTTATTTAAATGTATTTACTTCAATGGTGCTCCAACATCGACCTGTGTGACAGGTAGTGAATGCTTTGAATAATACATTTGGCAAACTGGTGCCAACTGGCATTTAGTTCCTTAAGATTTTAGTTTCTCGTAAGGATAAAGTGTGCTAAGCCTATTTGCCTACCGTCTTGGCCCGTGCGGCTTGGTGCTGTTTCTTAAAATCGTCGATTTCTTCGCAATGTAACACAAACAGCTTCATCTTACACAAACTTGGCGCTGCTGTTCACATGGATGTCAAATAGACCAATTATGCCCATACCAAAACCTACAATCCACTATCAAAGCCTGTCCTAGAGTGCATTGCATTGTGTAACCTAGAGTTTGAGCCTATTACGTATCGTGGTGATGTGAAGTTGTTCTGATGTGACCGGTTGTAGAGATCGCTAGTGTTTTTGTCAGTGGGCTAGTACTAGTGGTCGACCGATATGGGTTTTCCAATGACTTTTGGAATAATTAATAGCATATCTAGAGAATAGACTGGCCAGTAGCAGATTTAATGGCATATATTCAATATTTGGAGAATTAAATGGATGGTTCACACAAAAATGAACATTCTGTTGTCATTCATGTTGTTCCAAACCTCTAGGACTTAATTTCTTCTGCAGAACACACACAAAAAAGATATTTTGAAAAATGCAGAAAACCATTTTGACCATACTGTGAAAGTCAATGGGGTCCAAAATTTGGACCCCATTGACTTACATTGTGTGGACGAAATTTTTGCGATTTCCGCCTGCCCGATATATCGGTCTATCACTAGCTATTTCAGCGTTGTCAAAATAGTCATTGGCGTGCAACATTGTCAACTTGAAGACAAAGCAGGAGTTGACTTCCTCATTCTTTTGCGTCCTTATTTCTTTTTATCGTGTGTTTTGTTGCTCAAGTATGTGCTCAAGGAAAAATCAACCTCACCTAAGCTTTAGTCAGAATGCTGTTTAATAGACTATGGTGTATAATAATATTTAAAAAAAATGTTTAAATGGTCTCTCTGTCCAATTAACATGAGGACATTTTATTGAAATAGGATATTGACCATTAAATGAATTAATTGTTACCAGCACTGAGGGTATTTTTTTGTTGTAATTAATAGTCAATGTTAATGTTACCTGTTTTATTGGCCATTTTGTGTTTTGAATATCTTTGCGACTGTTTATCAATGATGGTTTTATTATGATTTCATAATCCTGAGCATTTGGATACTCTTCAGAACAGTATGATGGTGCTCTCCTACACTTTAAACAAGGAAAATGCAGCTATGAAATTCATGCATCTTACATTGTGAGGGGTAAACATTTAATAAACGTCATTGCAAGCTTTGCTTTGTGACGTCTCATTTGAACTCTTTTGTCCAGATGCTGTCTCCTGTTAGGGTGGAAATTAAGCTCTTCTTGAAATCGATGTTAAGCTATTTAAAAGGATAACAGATCGTAATTCTTGGATGTTGCTTTTTCTCAGGTACGTGTTTAAGGTTGTGCGTTGCAAAAGGCAACTCAAGTCCTTTCGCATGTTATAAATAGATTTACAAATATGTTTTGACTATGTAAATTTAGATGTCTAAATATGTAAATTCATATAGGTTGGTCTAGTGTCTCAGGAACATCAGTTCTGGCTTTAATAGTTTTGCATATTAAAAGGGAATGTTGAAAATATTGGCTAGCTGACAGATATAAATGAAAATGAATTTGCTTTACTGCACATTACCTGTTATAGAAAGTTCCACTGAACAGTCATTTTTAATACGTCATCTCAAAGGTCGTAATTTGCCCTTTTTAAGTTATTAGAATGAATTTGAAAGATATGCATTCCTATTTTCAATTAATCACATTCTTATGTTTTTTCATTGTTCAGCAGAAATATCACAGGATAATTGTGTAACAACAGCAAACTTTTGCGGTGTCAGATTTGTGTTGGTGCTTTTAATCAAAAAGAATTTAGTTGAGAAGGTTTTAAATCTCAGCTTTTTGTTAATAGTGTTTCTAATAAAAGCTCAGTTTGATCCATTTTTTTTTTCATTGCCTTACTTGCATAATGTACAAAGATTAATGTCCAGCTGGCAACGGTAATTTAGCAATAAAACAATTACAACCCAATTTAAAAATAATCAGAGGCAATGCAAATGACCTTTGTGAAGGTCACTACACGTGATCATTTATTAATGTCCTTTCTGTGGCTGCATATTCCATGTGGGCCTGCTGATAGGTAAAGATGATACTTGTTGAATATAATTTGAATAGAATGCAATGGTGTTGAAATACAATGAAAATTGCTGAAATCCCGTGCAATATCAAATAAAAAAGAAAAATAAATTAACCTTGTGTTCTTTTGTGTTCTTGCAAAACAGACCTAAAATAGACTTGAGAAATATTTATACAGCCTGTGAATGTAATAAGAGATCACTTGCAAATTGATGTATCATTATATAATCAAATTACAGCTTTTAAAATACAAAAGTGTTTGAGTTCTGTAAAAACGCATCACACATAATACAAAAACCAGAGTATGGTTGTAAGCATTTAAGAAATACCCCTTGTACTTCAAGAATTCCAGATATGGTAAACTATCTAGCAATTCGTCCTCTGTGATTTGTTCCTGTTCTCAGCCATTCTTTCGGCTAAAAGATACCTGCCTTATCTCTTGGGACTGGTCAAACATCTATCACACCAGCGCTAGAGGGACCTTGAAAGTCTGGAAAACATGTGCAGCTGTGCGTCTTCCAGAGATCTGAGCTAGGAGTAACAAGAGGACTATTGTAGCTGTTCCTTTGACTCTGTAATTTACCCAAATCAATCTTTAGCACTTTTTGATTTAAGAGCCTTTTGCCTTTAATGTCAGAAAACAGATATGGAAAAATAGGAGCATTGGGAAATGGTACAAGCCTAGGTTCAAAAGCACATACACTACGAATGTTAATTCAGAGGGACCATGTTAGCAATAAGAGAACTAAACCATCATGTCTAGATGGTAACCCACGTTTTGCAGAAAGTTGTGCAACTTTTAAGCCAATGTGAATCTCTCGAGAGTTTTGCAGTACGAAGTTAACCATGTAGACATAACTGTGTCCTGGTTCCTTGTTTAAGTTTATGGATCCACTCCTTGCAGGATTTAAACCTATACCCTTTTGGTTACCGGCCCAGATATGCCCTAGACATTTAATCAAGTCAAGAACAAAATAAAGTTCCTCCAGATCTGAGGTGCGCAATACAAGACAACTTAAAATGGGGGGTAACAAAAATGTGCCCTAAGAAGTCACTCTGGGAAGTCTTAACTGTGTCCCTTGGGAATGAAATAAGGAAAGGGGGTACAAATTTAAGAATAGAACTTTGTTGCAATTTGGATCAAACTGTTATCCGCTACTACAGCTGGGGTCTACACAGTATTCCATTGTCTGGATGAGTTCCTCCTCCATCTTATCAAAGCTCAAAGGCATGTGATGTCCATTCACTATCCCCTGAAATTCACACGTTGACTCGCATGCTTTGAATACCCAGTGTTACTCCAAGGACGCGATTTCTTGGCTGGCTGGCTGGTTTCAGGAGAGCAGGAGGAGGTGTGTATAAAACACATCTCTGCGGCTGACCCACCCCAAAACAAGTATTGGATTTCTCTGTGAATGAATGAGAGAAGATGCTTTTCCAGGCAAGATTTTGGCTGATGATGTTGCTGACTGTGGCGACTGGGTCATATGGTGCCACAGTGGGACACAAAGAGCAGGACAACAGCCCGAAAGTCATTCCGCTATCAGGTCAGTCCCTTCCATTTGTCCCGTACCTGTGTTTCAGGGTGCATTAATAGAATTGTTTAGAATTTTCTAACAGAGCAATGAACTTGCTTAAGTAATATCTTGTACCTTCGATGTGGTTATGATAGTAGTTGATGTCGTCTTGATTATATTTTTTGGACTTCCCTGAAGTGGTTGCAGGGGTGTAGGAATCATTTGACAAATTTGAGGCAAGGGTGTCCAGTCCTGCTCCCAGAGGGCCACATTCCTGAATAGTTTAGATCTGAAACACTTGCCTGGAAGTTTCTAGTGATCATAAAAGGCTTGTTCGACTGAACAGACTGATCGTTGAAAGAGCGATTAGAGAGCAGACGGCTCCGTATGCTTTTCAATCGCTCTCTCGGTACTTTGATGTCATAAACCGATCAGTCTGTGCAGCGCCGGTTCTAACAAGCCTAAAGACTTTGATTAGCTGCTGGAAGGTGGCCCTGCAGGAGTGGGATTGGGTTACTTGACTCTCCAAACGGGCAAGGATAACTTTAGGTGACACTTTCTGCCCATGAATGGTTGTCTAATTGACCAACAGAATTGAATGGAGATGAGCGAGAAGTCAGAGATATGGCATGTGCCAGTGAACAGCCAATTGGCCCACCTGCCCAGTCAACACAAGCCACCGAAGATGTGCCAAGTGAACAACAAGCTCACAGTCATGCCACTGATAACTTCCTGTCAGCCCTGAACGGAGAGAGTGAACAGGGCAGGATTAATTTCCAGCACTTTGGAATATGTTCGCCCGGAGCACCAGGTTTCCAGGTTTCATATCTAGTTCAGAATGTGCAACAAAACCGAAATGGCCTCAAGGGTGTTCATGCAACTAAAGGTAAATACATTTTTCTTTGATCCATAAATTTGATTTCCAGGTAAACCCTTGTTTTAGTTGGATGTTTGTCCAGTTGACACCATTAGATGAGTTGTGGTTAATGTTTTAATAGATGTTTGGGATGCTGAGCAGGAGGGGGAGATTACTTTAACCCTCACATTCCCAAGACATGCCCAACCGACCAACCCGGCTTCTGTGATGCTCCTGTTTAACGTCGATCCCATTAAAGGAGACGGTTTGAGAGTGACGTTCAACAGTCATTCCATCCAACCAAATACACAGGTCAACCTCATGATAATGATTTTTATATTTCTGACACTTTATTGACTATGATGGTAGATGAAAAGGGGGAGGAGGTCTTGGAAATGTTGCGAGCCAGATTTTGAACATATTGCTGGCATGAGCATCAAAGCTCAATGTCAAATTAGGGTGTGCTAACCACTCGTGGCTCCAAGCTTATTTTAAATTGCCATGATGTGTTTTCTCTGGTTATTTGACTTTCAGATGGTTTGCATTTCTGAGGCCACACGTTTCCTGATTCTTACGGGAGGACACAGTCATGCCCACGTTCACCTTAAGCTGAGTGTAACAGTTGAGGCATGGAAGGATGAAAGCGGTGAGACCATTTTTCATAACAAAAACAGACTACTCAAATGAATCCTTTCACACAGCCCATTTGAACTCTTTCCGTTACATTTTAGGCTCGAAACCCAGTGTGTCTGAGCTTCAGGAAGTGTTGATGAGAAAGGTGGATGGCAGCAGTACTACAATGAGGCCGATCTTACTTTTCCTCTCGGACCGTGATAAGCAAAGGACACCTCATTTAAAATATCACGGGTAAACGATTCACTAGCTAAAGTTTTTTTTTACTGCTTAGTTTAATCCTGCATTATACAATTAGATAACCAACTATATATGCGGCACAGTATTCAGTAAGCTAATATTCCATTCAGAACATTGCCAATGTTTCATTCTTTTCCCCAGAATTCCACTGGATGCGAGACCCCCATCCAGAACTTTTCTTTTCCTTTGCGAGCTGCAGAAGTTCTTGAGTGATGTCCTTCAGCAGAAAGAGGGGCCGACACCTCAGGATGATGCAAATGCATTCTTTTTGGATACACTGCATTCCCTTCCACCTCTCAGCCTTGGAGTGTCGTCCACAGAGTCCCTCCTATCAGGACTGGTGAACTCCTCCATGCCGACTGTATTTGTCTTCCCCCAGAGGCAGCAAGGCCTACAAACTCACCGAGTGGAGGTGACCCTAGATTCCCCTCTGCTGTCTGTGCTCAGAATGAGACTGGATGAAGCCATGGCTCTGGTCAGACAGCAGGAAGCGGGGCAAAAGGTGATTGACAGACTCCAGAAACTGAGTGAACTAAGTGCCGTTTCTCCAGATGGAGAGGACGATGAAGCAGGTGAGCATTACATTTTTTTCATAAACACTAATGGTCAAAATTTAGAATGCACTCTTTAAGAGACAAAAAAAAAAAAAATCAGTTATTCCAAACTTTTGACCAGTAGTGTTACTAGGGCTGGGTGATACAGCTAAAAAATCAATTATATTATTTTGACAATATTTGTGCTATAATGGGTAGCACAAATATTTTTTTCTGACAAACCGTGACTTCAACTAAACAGCCATCAACAATTGCCAAATCAACAATTAGATTTGATTTAATGAGAAATAAGTCAAAATAAATTTTTAAAAAATATATATATTTTTTTACTACCGGTAAACAGATTGAACTGATTCATAATGAATAAGTCTTGCCAACTTTAAATCAGAAATGCTATGAAAACATCTCTGACTTAAATCTCATTCTCTAGAATTTCGAGACAATTATACATCTTGAAACTAGTGTATTAACGGAAACTAATAGCTAATGAATATTAAAAAATATCACCCAGCCCTATATGTTACCATTGAATTGCATCTAAAATATTATGATTCATTCAAACTATGATTTATTTATAGTGACTAAGGACCACAAAGAAGCCCAGTACCGGTCTGTTCTGCTGCTGAAGGCCCTGCAGACGGTTCTTAGTACCTGGGAGGCGGAAAGAGCCCAGAGGGCAGCCAGAGCGGACGAGGACAGCCCATCAACGCCCAGTCAGTGTCGGCTTCAAAGCTTAACCGTGTCCTTGAGGAAGTTCTTTCTTGAGCCCTCCCAGGCCAACATCAACAACTGCGAAGGAGTGTGTGGTTTCCCACTGAATAACGCCAACAACCACGCCGTCCTTCTTAACAGCCATATCCAGAGCGGCCATCCTGTCAATCGCTCTCTCTGCTGCGTACCGGTGGACTATGACGACCTGTGTGTGATCGAGCTGGAGAGCGAGGGCACCAACATCTCCTTCAAAACCAACGTGGTGGCGACCAAGTGTGAATGTCGCTGACGGCCTTACTTGCTCTTTGAAATGCGTTCATGTATTTGCAATATATGAATAAAATCTCATACATCTGCATTTATTTTTGCCTGTAAATACACAATAAAGCTCTCTGTTTTCCAAAATGACCTGGTACATGTGTAAACATGCAACATAAGCTGTCATTTGAAGTGTAAATTTGGTCATTAGAGGGAAAATGTACATATTCAATTATATAAACAACCACTTCTAGCTGTATGAAATAATTAGATGCCCTGCTAAAAGATTTGCATCAGTGCTGAGCTTATGAAAGTAAATATTCATAAAGCTTTTCTCCGTGTCAGTTATATGTATAATGAATGTAAATGTATTCACTATGACTTCTTATATAAATTGGAAAATGCTCTCAAAATGTTACAGGTCGTTTTAGGTTTATATAAATCACATTTCAGATGAAGGTTATATATTTATTTTCTATATATATATTTCATCCAAATCACCATTTTGGGGATATTACAGACTATTCCCTTTCCTTGAGTATTCCTTTAGCCATTTCCTTGTTACGGATCTTCCGTGGTCCGACCTTCTCTCCATCCTGTCTTGTTCTTGCTGCCCTTTTCTTTCTAAACTCTTCGAGTTCATCCTCAGATCTCCAGTTCCAAAACGCAAAGGTGTCCCACCATGAATCAGGCTACGGCAAAAATAGGCAACATTTAGAAACTATGGTCTAAGTGAAAACAGTTAAAAACATGAGCCTTACCTCTGCTGTCAGATCACCGGCCTGAAGCTCTGATCCAGGTTCATCTTCTGTCACTTCAAAGTATGGCTCTATTGTCTCTGTTACACATTAAAACACAAACACTGATTGGTCAGTTGTGACAGTTTGGGGACACTAAGATTTTAATGTTTTTGATAGAAATCTTATACTTCTCAAATCTGTATTTGACCAATAATACAGTAATATTGTGAACCTTTCTATTTTAATTTATTTATTCCTGATGGCAAAGCTGTATTTTCAACATTTTGCTATATGAAAGTATTAACTGACCCCAAACCTTTGAACGATAGTAATATAGCCGTGAAATTAGCAGAATAATGTACAGTAAATCGTTAATTATATCAAAAACAAACCTCTTCAGGATGATACAAGACACCTCAGACGCTGACGGTTTATTTTGCGATAATAATTGTCTGTATTTACATGCACACATAAACAACCGCATATGACTCACATTCAAGAATTCACCTTGTACTATATCAACCGCAGAGTTGACCACCACGATGACCATGACCACTAATATACAGCGGTTCAGAGTGATGCCTTTCCATGGATTTTGCACCTTACTCAAGGATTCCACAGGAAATATGCGCCGATATTTCACTGTCGAATGGAGATGGTTGAGTAACTCAGAAATGAAGTGTGATACTCTTAATACAGTGAATAAGACATTCAAAATCAAATCGTGCATATATTTTTTTAAATCCCAACAGAGACCCCACGGCGGGTTAGGGGATACATACTTGCTCTGATGATCCTTTCTGGATGTTTCTGTGGACTTCTAAAAGATTAGAAAGTTTGTCACAAAACGTCCATGAAGTTTTACATATCTTACACTTACATCTTAACTTCTGCTATTGACACAAATTCCTTAAAAAGTAAGTCTAGCAAAACATCAGGAGGATCAGTAGCAGCTGCAGAAAGTATGCCTACAAAACTATGATGACTGAGTGCAAATAAGTCTGAGAACAAACAATCAAAACAACAGCATTAGTGATAGTTCGTATTAAACGCGTGGTTCTTACCAGGCAAAGCATGAGTGCATGAACAAACTGAGGTGTCTCAAGTTCTTCCGAGCCCTGATGGACAGGCACAGCTGAGACTTCATTATAAAATACAAGCATGTGATTTTGCAAGGCCTATTTGCAATCTTGAATTGAATGTTGGTATTATTTATGCTCACATACATACAACACAAACGACCTCAAGAAACAATTTTGTTGAGATTTTTACATAAACATTATACATATTTTTAGTTAATAATTAATTCAGTAATATATTAATTATAAGGAATCTTAGTTATAGTACATCTTGCACTGCTACTAATGTTGAGTGCGTAACAACAATGAGAATTGTGCTTAATTATTGACAGATTATGTAACTCCGTTAGAAAATCTGTAAATTAGCCTGTATTCTATCCTGTTCTAGTTTTACATACTGCTGAAATGTGAGTTCATAAATCAGACATTAATAAGCCTATCAGCGCGAATTTGACTACATTCTATTTTAATTTGATTATTTCCAGTCGGGGCTTATTTGTTTGTTAGAACGCATGACGTAAGGTATAAGCCACGCCCAATCGTGTTCCGAGTATAAATACTGCGGGCCTACACAACCATTACATTCAGTCGGAGCACGGACAGAGAAGAGTCGGGCCTTGACGTTGGCCGGATGGTTAAATCCAACCTCCAGACGATCCTGAATAGCCACTGTTTTGTCAGAGAAAAAGAGAGTAATATATCCAAGATGCCATTGATCGAAATGACCCGTAATAAACCCGAGAATGAAAGGTAATGTGGGACTTTAATGCAGCTCGCTTGTTTGAGGCCTTGTTTTAGCAGTACAGCCTAGCGTGCTTTAAATTATATGACGAAATGCACTGTAATGTTTGTACGCCTTTATTGTTTTTGTTTTTTTTTGCTAGCAGAATGAGACCTACGTCTATCCATCTGTCTAAACTCTTTTCAGTGAAGTTCATTAAAAATAAAGAATTATTGTTAAATATCACGTGAGAGCCTCGCAATTCAGGTGGGATTGTGTTGTCAGTCATTGGCTAGAATGATTGACGGGCCTGTTGCCAGGTAACAGGTTTTCGCGTTCGTAGAACATTCGAGAAACGTCCAAATCACCATTTCAAACTGTCGTTATTTCCAACGTCTTTTTAAATACCTTTAGCTGTAACGTTAATGTTAGATGCTGTCTCAGTTTGGATTTCGAGCCAGTCATAGGTCTTTTAAACCTCGTTATCTAACCTCATAACATTTTATTTATGACTTAATTTTATAGACAGTTTATCGCATTTATTCAGGTGTCGCACAGCTCAACAAGTGATTGACGTGTAAGTTACGTTAGGTGTTCGCGAGGTGGCTAACGTTGCAATGCTAACGTTAGCTGGCAAAGCGAAAACAGTCAGGATACTTGCTTTTGTGTCACTGATAAGCGGATGTTTTATGTATAATATATTGAGTAAGAATTTTATTTCTCATTTAAACGAGAAACTTCCCACAATATGTCTAACCCGTTTTGAAGCGGATTGTAATGTGCTAATCTTTTAAACGTCGCCTCGCCCATCTCCCCTTGTTTGTTCATCATGCGTCGTTGCTGAATTGAATGGAGAACCATGATGTTTTTAAAAGATTAAGTAATTCAGAAAACTTAATACTATTTCAAGTTTTCCTTTAATGTACTAGTATTAAAAGTCTACCTGATTTAAAACCGCTCAGTGAATCCCTAAGTTTAGTATGAAAAATCTATTTAGTGTTTTATGAATCTTATGTAAAATGAGCAAGTATCAAGGAAAATGTGGCTTATTCCATCTGAAAATTATTTTCTGCTTTGTGATTTTTAGATGTAACTTGGGCATGTCTTAACTTGCACGGGTGCATATATAGGGTTTTTGTAACCGTTACTACCTCCTGAATCCTTTTTGGTTGGACCATAATATTGTCTATTTATGACTTAAATGCAGCAACCTCACAAATCACAGGTCTTAAATTAACTCCTTTTACTCAGTCTAAATGTTGGTGTTCATTCACCTGCTACAGGCTGTTGTGTAACCACCACTCATCCCCTCCCACATTACCCAGCATCTGTAACGGGCTCGCTATGTCCCATGTGAGTGGAGAATAAGGTTGTAAGGTAATCTGGCTTCAGGGTTTATTAGGCTGTTTTCAGTGGGACACACAGAAGACCAAAACTGCCCTCACATGTGGTACTGAATTGATATGAGGTTTCCCAGATGCATCCATTCAGTTTTGATCTGGTTATTAAAGATTTGCATTCACAAAACTGCAGCACGTAATTTGAACGATATTGTCTGCTGGTGTGGATGCTAATAGTAAAATGTATAGTTGGAAAGTGTGAATAAAACTAATATTTTCATTCAAGCTACCCTAATTAGAAAAAAATAAAACCTTGTGTATTCTGTTATAATGCTCTTTGTGTTGGGGGAAAAAAATCATGTCTTTGTAGAAAGTTGTTAACCAGGTTTTATTTTGTGACATTTAAATGGATTAAAGGCATCATGTTGCTTCCTCACCTTGTCAGACAGCTACTGTCTCTCTAAATTATATGTACAAAAAAATATTTAAACATTTTATCCAAGTCACCTTTATTTATATAGCGCTTTTTACAATACAGATTGTATCAAAGCAGCTTCAGTGATAACATGAAAATAATACAACAATTTGTTTCTAGAAGAAAATTGCATCATTGTCCACCTTAAGGCAGATCAATAATATTGTTGAATATTAAATGTCCCTAAGCAAGCCAAAAGCCAAGCCAATGTTGTAACCTACCCAGGTTATGGAACCTTTGGGATTGCCGTCATGCTCTACCAGTTGAGCTATTGGAACTTGCTAGTCTATTGTTCATTAATTTTTTCCCATTATATGCTGATGTCATGCTCTCTGTTAACAAGTATGTTGTTGTGTTTCCTGGTTACAGTTCCCATCGCTGCAGTAACCCGTGTCCGGGGCCTCTGTGGTGTTCCTGATGTCCCTCACCCACCCCTGAAGATCCCAGGTGGGCGAGGGAAGGATCAGCGGGATCACAGTCTTTCAGCTAAGCTATTCTATTCTGTGAGTGCAGAGGTTTGGGTCACATGAAAGACAGGGGTTGTTTTGAAATAAAAATAATGATAAACGAGGTTCAAACATCTATTTCGTAACAGACATGCATGTTTATTTGAGCAATTCTTTCAAAGAAACAGACAGTTTACCTGTAAAGCATTGAAATATCAGTAAATAATGGTTACTTAAATGCTTTTTTTAAACATTTAACTTTATTATATTATTTGTTTTATATTTCCACACAAAGCCGCGTCATATGGGATGTGAGACATGAACAGGAAAGAGACGGTCATTCTCTTTTCTGATATTGTCATGTTTTCTACTTGTAAAAGGTCTGAAGAGCAAATTTTATCTTCCACAAGTTATTTAGGCTATGTTTGATTAAACTAAAATCACCCTCATGTGTGAAACGCGGTCTACAAATAAACTTGATGATCTTACCCATATCTAATAAGCACAAACCGTGTTAAAGAACTTGACGTGCAAGTAAAAATGTAGGCTATCTGTCCTACAGTGTTTTTCTACTTTACCACAGTAAAGAATGTGAATGTAATAGACCTAATTAAAAGCGAACCAAGGAAGAAACGTTTATAATCCCCTTCTAAAATGGGTGAGACGTGAGTGAAGATTTGGGAAAAGAAATGAGATTCCATGTCCAGTGGAATAACTAATGGACCATTGTTAAATTCCCTGATAATCGGGGTGACCAGATCGTAAACCAGAATACAAAGTTGAAATCTATGGGCTCACGCACAACTCCCATTCGTCATGAACCCAAATATTTCCATGGCTGCGATGTAACATTTCTTTAGTAAACACCGCTTTGTGCTTCATTCGTGTCATTCATGTTAAATGGCATTCACATACAAAAAAAGTGTTTTGGTGCACCACCGCCGGTGCTACTCAGCCACCGGTGGTGTGGTTGTCAAGTTTACTGGCACAGCCCTAGCTAGTGTTTATAATAAACCGAACGATATCGTCTGCTGGTGTGAATGCTAATAGTTATCTTTATAGTTATTATTCTTTGTGTGAATGGGCCTTGAGTCTTTAGAATGTATTCTGCTTTAAGATAGTGTTTGCATGATGTATGCTGTTATCTCTCTGTGCAAGGGTCATATCTTATCTACGTATTAATCTCATAACTTATGAAAAATGAGGTTGGACATTCCATCTCACCTGACTTGTCATGTTAATGATTTGAATGTCTTCCATTGCTACAATTTGTTAAATGACTGTACAGCAGTAATTGCCCATGAGTGCATGCATATAACTGTATTTGTGTCCTCTTTGTAGGATGCTCAGTTACTGGTTCTTGAGGAAGCCCCCACGTTGAACAGCCGTGTACGGTTTTTGCTTTTTGAGCGCCGCTGCTCTGTGAGCAAGCACTTAGTTTGGAGGGGGGCACTAAAAGGGGCAAACCTTTACATCGAAATCCCCACTGGTGTCCTCCCGGAAGGGAGCAAAGATAGGCAAGTCAAATTAACGTTATCTTGTGGTTTCTTTTCTCCCTTGTCCCTACTGAAAAAGTTAATTTTGGCTCAAACTTGTTCTGTTATTTTGCAACAGTTTTTCACTCTTGCTGGAGTTTGCAGAGGAGAAGTTACAGGTTGATCATGTTTTCATCTGCTTCCATAAGAACCGAGATGACAGAGGTAAGGATTATGGCTTATCTCCCTTCATGCCTTTTGAGTTAGTTGGGCCTATTTTTAACCCTTTCTGCTACCATCTCCAGCATCGCTGCTGCGGACATTCAGTTTCATGGGCTTTGAGATTGTGAGACCGGGTCATCCCCTCGTCCCAACCCGCCCCGACGCTTTCTTCATGGCTTACAGCATCGAAAGAGACACCGATAGTGACGAATAAAGCTTATCAATCACATTTTGCTTCTAATAACTATGCTGTATCTCACCCAACATGCTGTATCTCACCATTAAAAGAAACAGTATGACTGTCAAATTGACCTTTTTTTTTTTTTCCTGTTAATCACTACATTGTAGTTATTATAAGGGTTGTGCTGTATTTTCAGTCGTATTTGCACTAGTGTAAACACATTTCTGAACTGACCATTAGTTTTTAAGCCATTATCACTGGGCTTAACTTTCAATGTAATTGGATTATTTGCTGATTCCCTTTCACCCATTCCCACACTGATCATTTTTAGAACATAATATTTATGGTTAAGATCTCAAGCAACAATGTATGTAGAATCATGGTTTTTATTGCTGATATTGATTTCTTTACTGGTGGCTTCAAGTGCTTTCTTAATGTGTGCATGAATTTGAGTTCGTTATGACTTCAATAGGATTTGTCTGCATGTTTCCTACTGTGTGCAGAATAAAAAATGCTCACCCTACAACACCGACTTGGTTTTGCTACCTCTTTTCATGTCCACATGCATAATGTAAATTATTAGACCGTGTCTCACTGGGTTTTCAGAACGCTTTATTGTCCTTCTCACCCCTGAAGTTTTGTAATGCTAATTTTTCCAGGTATTGTTAATAAGTAAACTCCACAAGGTCAACCAACAAAAAGCTGGTTTTGTAATAATACATTATATATATATTGGAGAGGCCTTTACTGTACATTGGCTATAATCTGCTCCCTGTGAAATATGATAACAGTTTAATATATAACAAGTGTTTCACATGGTAATTTTGTAGCCAGAAGCAGTAGGTGAAAAAAATAATAGTAATACATATGTACAAAGTGCATGCACATTACATGGGGGAGGTAAAAATTGTTATGGAAAAAGGAATTAAATCAAATGTGGCTTCAATTTAACTAAAACATGCAGAAAAAATGTTATCTTGCCCCTGAATTAAGCATTTGTTCTCATGTCATGTGTGGGCCTCTGTACAAATATTAGTTTTTTTCTTCAAGGTTTTAAGTATACAGCAGTACATGAATAACAAATATGCTCAAATTATCTAATTTAAAAACTTAATTTAGGTTATATAGCTACATAAGTCAACAGTTATATCTAAGTCTCCCTATCTGACAATTGTTGTCATTAACATTTGCATTTTAATGTTCAGCAGGTTTAAAAAAGTCATGAAGGCCCATGTGTTCAGTAATGTTATGCATTGTCTTGGGGTCAGTAAGGGATAGATATTGCAGGCAGAGATAGTCTTCCCAGTCCAAGCCATATTGGTCCTGAAAGAGTCCCTTCTCAGCAAGCTTGAGGACTAAAAGAGACCGCTTAAGTAGCAGCCAATTAGAAAACACAGAGCTCTCCAGTTGGTTCTGCTGAAAAAGTCCCTGTCGTGGACCCCAAAGTAAGGCCTGGAGGACACCCACCACATCGGCCAATAGTAGCCCAGGTTTCTCAGATGTAAGCTGGGTGACCAGCCACAGCAATCCTGGAGTGTATGGAGTGTCTTGTGGCACCTTCGACGTGGATGAGCAACCATCAGTGAGATGTAGGCAGTACCTCAGCAAAGTCCCCAACTGGAACTCTTGGGATGTTGCTTCTTGAAAAACTTTGTCATCAAAATGGCTTTTCAGGACCAAACGAGGGGTGCCCCACTTCTCCCATAAAGTTTGACAAATCTCAGTTTTGTGTATTAGCTCTTCGGTCACCGTGATCCCGGGTGTACCTTTGGAAGTGTCTATATTCCTGTCCATTACCTTCTTCATTTTACTAGGGTATTCCCAAGTGTCAGCCCCCTTGCTAGTGATATGAGGCCACACTAAAGTCGCACTCTGTGGTTTCAGTTCCCTGTTAATTACTTTAAAATGCCCCAGCTGCTGTAGTCCTAGTACCAACTGGAGCGCAAGAAGACAAAGCCTCCTCTCATAAACCTCAGGAAGGCTGGAGTGCAAAAAGTGTCCTTCCTTAACAAAGTCCTCCAGTGTTCCCAATGGAAAGTCTCTTACCACAGTCACACTAAAACCTTTCTCTAGAAGATCCGCTACTGTTTGCTGTTGGCACACCTCAGTGGTGTCCCCATGTGAAGGCTCTGAAGTTGTCTCAGCATGCTGCAAGGTGGAAGTTTTATCCGTAGCGGTGCATTGTGGGAAATGGAGCACTCCTTGCTCAATGTTAGGATGCGGCATGGATATAGCACAATCTGATACCAAATCTTCTCTGTGAACCTGCCGAAACATTTAGGAGTTGTATTCAAAATACTCATTTTCTTTTATTCAGTAACATGCAACATGTAGGATTCTCTACTCCTTTACCCAAAAACTGTTGCATTGTGGCTAAATACTTGCCCCTAAATCTACATAGCACATGTCAAACTGTTGGTGCTGTTTCTCAACACCTGGCATGATGAAGGAAGTGTGGTTTGAGGGTTTTGTACTGCAAGCTAGGGTTGCCTTATAAGGGTGCGCATTCTGCTTGTGGTTCATGGGGCTCGGCCTGGGAATCGTTAATGGCCTACTTAGATCTTTGGATTTAAAACCCCTGTGCACAAAATACACAATTGCGGATTGCTACAGTACCTAACTAGAGTCCTTGTACATCTAATTTAGATTGGTCACCGTTTGTAATTGCAGTGATGATGTCCTTACCTTTGCTGAAAACAGTCTCCCGGGAATCTTCGAACAACGCACCAAGTAGAAAGCATCCCTCTCCGTCCACTGCTCCTCACACAATATAAAGTCATTAGGCTGAGAAGTCTTTGCCATCTCCATTTCCTGTTCATTTAGGAAGATGCTCGATTCAATGTTTTGCAATGAGTTCCTGAGAAACTGAAGATAACACTCTTGAATACCCATGGAAACTTGCTCATGGCTCTGGAAGCTTCTGAAGAGTCTTTGAAGTTGCTCATCTGGTGTATCAAAGTTCACTCTGTGCAAGGACGGGGCTTGATGTAGCTCCTCTTGTACCTCTTCCTCTTGTAGTGTAAGTGTGCCATGGAATGGTGCTATCATGTATAATGGATTTTCATAGTTGTAGGTTCCTGTATGATCATGGTAAGATGGGTCCAGAGCCTCCGCTGGGAGGGATAGGGTTCTCTTCAGACTCTTTTTGGGTACTGGAGGAGGAGTTTGATCTGAGAAGAATCTTGCCTGGTGATTTTCTGAGCAACACAATAAGGTCAAAATTACTTCTAGCAGTAGAGCAAACACATGCATTCTCAGATGCGGTGGATGTCATGTGTTATGGAACAATGAAATGAAATTTTGTGGAAACTCTCTGTTTCCACAATGCCGTGAGACACAGACTCTGCGTGGTTTAGTTGTTTGTCTAGTGGCTTACTGTATTGGTTTCAGGTGTTACTTCCCTCAAAGTACTTATGTAAAAGAAAAAAGTGTAAAAACAACAAAAAACATAACCAGAAATGAGGAAGGCTATGCATGTGAAACGATACAGAATCAAGTTCTCATTTTACTAAGATCCTTATCATTGCTGCAAATCTAACCTTTTTGTATTACACTTTACAAACACACCAGGTTCTTCCAGACAATGCCAGACATTATAAGTTCTCACCATAGCGATGGTGTATTGGACAGTGGGCTGCATTGCAGTAAGTAGGGGTGAACACTTCAGCAAATGGAGACACAGGTGTCTGTGGTCCAGACAAGAGTAGATCTCCCACCTTCAGATCTAGATCCTGGATGGAGCTTGAAGATGACTTGCTCCTAAACATGCACACATGCAAGTTCACAGAGATACAGAAACAACAGAACAAATTACTGGGCTAGACCTGCTTCATTTGCATTTCATTATACTGAGCAACAAGTAACTTTCGTGGTATGGTGTTTCCTGTATCACAATAGCATGTCAAGTCATAACACTAGTATTTCTTACCTGCGCTGTTTGATGGGCAGTGCAGGTGGCGATGCCCCTCCTGACGCTCCCAGGAGAGTGTAGTCTGTTGCTTGATCCATTGTAGTTTAGCGTGTGACAGTGAGAGCGTCCGTGAATGTGCTTCACCCTCCTACAAATGTCAGTTCCTGTAGTTTTCTTCTAGTGCATTAGCACACACACAGTTATCTCAACTCACATTGCCACAGCAGCATATCTAGCATCTGAGGTTGGCAGCGGAAAAGCTGAGTGCATTTTGTGCACATCTGTTCTCTGTACTTTCAAATAGGACATTTTAAAATAAGGAACCAGTTTTTGTAAGTTCTAGATTAGTACCTTTTACTGTCATGGGATGGGATGACATGTTTATTTGCATTGTGCTCATGCACTGTGCTTAGTTTGTGTCAAACATGAATCTAATCTAAAGTGAATTAAAGTTGAATCTAAACGTTTTTAATCTTACTGAGCATTTCTATAAATCGGAGGATTTTTTTTTATTTCGATATTTTATTTGTGTTTTCAACAGAACATGTAACTAAGCAACTTAAAGCACACTAGTTATAAACTCCTTGCAAAGTTGCTTGGAGACAAACACTGCAAGATACCAGTGATAGAGTGATCATCATACACTGTCATCTTTCAGTCACTAGAGGATGCTGTTGTCCCTTTATAAACAATAAGCAACCTCAAACATGACTTGAGATCACAAATCAGAAATTGCATACTTCCTTACTAGTAGGTGAAAAACAGTGTGACAAAAGAAGTATGTCCGAATTCACAGTACTCATTAAAGAGTAGGCAAAAAGTACCCGGATGACCAACTACTTTCAGTGAGATTCTTAAGTGTGCATAGGCTACACTTTACTATCCGATAAGGCCACAGGAGAGGATTTGTAAATGGCAGGGAAGTGACGCAACAACTATAGGTCACATGATAATGACATCAAGGGCGAATTTAGGACGTCTAGATTACATTCATACACACACTTATATAGAATGTACTTTTTAAACAGTCGCAAAGTCAGGAGAGTATGCGATTTTGGACGCAGCCCTTGTGTGCCTGATTTTGGAATGGGCCTGATAAAGACTGGATTCAGTTCAGTTAAACTGAACTTCAGATGATTCAGTTCAATTGGATTGCACCATTTACACAGCACTTTTAACAATGCACAATATCCCAAAGCAGCTTTATTGAGTGGCAAAAGCAGGAGCAAAAAGTCTAAGTCTAATAAAAACTTAGTAGGAACCAAAACCCAACCCAGAAGGTAGAACCCGAACCAAAACCCAACCCAGAAGGTAGAACCAGATAAAAAGTTGTCAAGTTAAGTGTCTATTGGTAAAAAAAATCACTTCTGAATTCTGAATAATGATAAGAGTGTGGTTGGGTCATATGCAATTGAATATTTTATACCCCTGCTGGTAGGTGTTGTAACTACACCATCTGTATAAATTATCTTTCTCCATTCACAGCCATTCAAAATTAGCCATGCATTCTGAAAACATTTTTTTTTTTTTTTGCAAAATCACATACATATTGCTTATAGGGTTTTTTTTGTGGGTTTTTTAATGCTCTTAAAGGGATACTCCACTTTTTTTGGAAATAGGCTCATTTTACAACTCCCCCAGAGTTAAACTGTTGAGTTTTACCGTTTTTGAATCCATTCAGCCGATCTCCGAGCAGCAGGTGTAATGATATGACGAAGCGCCTGAAAATAGTTCCGTTGTGTTGACGGACGGTAGCCTATTTTCAGGCGCTGCGTCATATCATTACGCCTGCTGCACTCATGGTACGGCAGTAAAGTTTCTTGATTATTACGCAGGAATGAGAGTATAGTTTCTAGCCATATCAGCCTAGAAAATCGCAACTTTACATTTTCCGTCGGTCTTAGTGCACGATGTAACTACAGAAGAGTCAAGTTTTAAATAGGAAAAATATCGAAACACTTTGGTCATTTTTTTTTTAGAAATGCTAATGGTCTTGTCCACTTCAATGATGTATGCTAAGCTATGCTAAAAGTGGTACCGCCAGAACCGGAGATCGGCTGAATGGATTCAAAAACGGTAAAACTCAACAGTTTAACTCTGGGGGAGTTGTAAAATGAGCCTATTTCCAAAAAAAGTGGAGTATCCCTTTAAAAGTAGGCTATAAAATGGATACATATTTTTTTCTAAAACAACTGCAAGCATTTCAGTTAAACTAAACGTCGGTTTATTGAATGCTTAAGAATAAGATGCCCTAAAAGTTTTTATGTTCAGGTGTGATATGTTTAAATTTCAAAATAAAAAACAATGTATTAAACAGACCTTTAGGTGGCGCTGGATCGTTCAGCAAAAAATAATATATGTATCAAACATTAAAAGCATTGTCAGACAGAATTTAAAGGCACAGTATGTAAGTTTCGCTGCTAGATGTCGCTTATTCAAAACAATAACAAACGTTTGATGACGAATGAGCGTGGAATCTTGGAAGTTGTCGTCTTCACCTCCACAGTCGATGGAAAGCAATCCGACGGGACTCAGACAGAAATCATGTTCATCTGTGAGCTTATGTATTAGAGCAGGGCGGGAGCGAGAGCCTGGGACATTTTACCGTTCTGTTTTCATTATGCTTATGCCACAGTCGGCCTCTGACGCTTCTTTTGGTTTGTTGTTTATGCATATTTTATGATTAATGTACGTTTAACTCCCGCCACTCCGCCTCCTTCCCTGAACTTGAACTTTGTTAGTTACGTTTGATCCCTTAAATTCACATTATTTTATTTCATTCTAATAAAACAGACGCAAGTGCTAAATCATGTCAATTTTTCTGATGAATTAAAATTGTGGGGTAACGCAGCGCTGTTTTACTGGGTCAAAACAATCATGCTAAAATATGTTTGAGTGTGTTGAAAGTTATGTTAACGTTACTCTGTGCGTTCGCTCGGTGGCTGTTATGAGACACTTGTTGCAATAGTGCAATGTAAACTTAAGTTCAATGTATTTTATGTATACAATTTTTAAAAACAAATATTGATTTAACATATTATTTGTACACAATAACTGTCGCAGATCAGTCTACTCTACTCTTTCTGTCATAAAGAGTCTAATAGAATCCAGATGTAGGATTTGCATGTTTAGATGCGCAAACCGAGTATTTTTTGCGTCCATCATGTCCATCCATAAAGTGCAGATCAAAAGATGAATTGCAGTTCTAATTTAAGACATGAGTGCAGGGAAGAAGCTCTCATCAAAATAAAAAAGAAGGAAAGAGAGCGAGGGTTAGGAGGGGACAATAAGGACGCAAGCACTGAAGAGCCCCTGAAGTGGATCATCATTAAGCTCAAATGCTGTTCCTAGTAAAGAGACTCTTCACATGCTGTGAGTCCTGGGGCTTCCTTATGCAGAGTTCGCCACAGATTTGCGTCAGTAGCCTCGTCATGTAGTCCGGAAACTCATGTCTCATGAACCCACTTGAACCTAAATGGAATCTATGCCATATTCAAAGATGCCAAGTGGATTTTGAATACCATTTCCATATAACTAATTATTATTCCTTTTTGATAGTTCCATTAAACATGTTTTATTATGTTCTACACTGTAAAAAAAAATCTGATCAGTAAGTTATGACAACATGTTTTTTTTGCATTGCTTTAACTCATCAAAATAAGTTAAGCAATTTTTTTTTACCTTTTTTAATAAGTTATACAGATTCATTTTTTAAAAGTCAGTGTAAAGGCTGAAAAAAGTATTTGGACTCTCAAATCACACTTATATAAATTTATATTGCATTACACACAAAATATCAAATTATGCTAATTTTTTTGTTTCTCAGAACTGACTTTGTCTGTGCTCTTTTTCCAGCTGGATGTAAAAAGTAATGTAATTTACTTGTGCAGGCTTTTTGAGGCTATATGTCAGAAGACAGATGCTTTTGAAACCATTTGTATTTTCAAAAACTTTTATTTTCATCATAAGGTCATGGACAACATCTATCTGAACATCTGAACATGAGGAATTCATGCATAAAATAAATAAATTCCCACACAACAACAAAACTTGTTCATTTACAATAGAAGGCGCTCGATTGTCATGTTATTGAGCAACACTGCTCTGGGTTTGTTCATTTGTGGTTTAAATTGAAGTCGAAAGACTTTCTTTCTTGTTTGCGAAGAATTCCCCAAAGGCTTCGCTTACTCTTGCTGACCGGTGCTTGTTTTACTAGCTCACTGTTCTGAGCCAGTTTCCTCTGGATCTCGATTCCTGTAACGCTGTGGCTTCTAAAGAAGCGATGAGAGACAGGAGACTGATGTGGAGGGGTGCTGGCATGTATCTGAATGGGGGATGTCCTGACAGCGATGCTTCTTTTCGTTTCCAGCTTAGGGTGCCTAGACGTGTTGACCTCTTCATCGTGACCCCAACGTCTATGGCCCTGGGAGAAGAGCGCCTCTTCGTTGGCCATTTGTGGGCTTTTGCTCAAAGTTACGAAGCCGTATGGGGTGGTGACCTTGAGAAGGTGAGGTAAGGAGAGAGCCGCTTGGCTAGCAGGGTCTGAGCAATGTTTGAGATCCGAGACAGCTTTTCTTACAGGAGATACGCTGAACCCAGAGGATGATGATGATGAAGATGACACTGATGAAGAAAGAGAAAGCTTGGCATGATAGGATCCACGAATGTCTTCATAGCTCCCCCAGTCTACCTCTTCTTCGACCTGTCGTTCTTTCTCATTCGCTCTGGATCTATAGCCATCCTCCAGGGCTAGTTTTGGAATGGTGAATTGTGGGATGCTGTCCGGGGTCACGAGGACACTGCGTATACTGTCTTTACTTTCGCGGTTTTCTAACCCCAGCGAACTTCCGAACGAGCAACTTCTCGCGGTGGCCCATTTGAGCGCGAGTTTTCCCGCGGAGCTGTGCCTGCGCGCGAAAGGGAATCCCGCGCTTTCTGACGCGCTGTCGGCACTCGTGCAGTTTCCAGCACTGATGGTGCGCGTCACCGTCATGTTCTTGTGCGTTGCTGCCATGCTGTGCTGTGTCTTAAAACTAAAACATATGGTTTATTACCTGTTTGTGGAAAGGTGTGACTGAAAGAGCGACCTCAGAGATTTATAGTCATCCAGACCCTTCAAATCTGCCCCACTCTGTTTGTTTTAGACGTGCGTAGGCTAAATGTGACGAGGGAGCCGTGTGCGGAAACATGCCCAAATGTGGATCTCTCCCGCCTTTGACGGGTCTCCTCCGTGACTGACGTTGACAGGAATGACATGAACGAATCCCTCACGAACATGTAGTTTGTTACCATAGTTACTTCTATTGTTGTTAATAGTATTTAGTAGCTTGGTAAACACAAATAAAGACAAAATGGCATCAAGATTATGAAAACTCTTGGAAAAGAGAAATTAGGCCTATATATTTTATTTATTTATCTAATAAAGCCTATAGAGAATATAATTTATAATAGATAAATTATAGGCTAATATAATGCTAATATAGTTTCATTGCAATAATTAGCATGGTAGGCTACTACAAATAATTATCATATTTATGTGCAGTGGTGTAGTCGGGGCCATACGCATGTACGCTGTATACTTACTTTTTGCCCAGGGCTGTTTAAGTATTACGACTTCTAATTATCAATATTTGCATACCCACTTCTTCCATAGTCCATAATCTACTGTCATGTTAGCTTCCCATTTAACTGTGTGTCCAGTGCTGTTGTGTAAACTTCTGATTCTTTGTTGTAATTGGTGCATTAGCACTTCTATCCCACTGACCAAAGGTACGTCAAAAAGACGTCATTTCGACGTCTTTGCCAGTCACACGTTGAAAAGATGTCCCATGAGGAGCCGGAATGAAAGTTTATATTACGTCTTTTACTCTTTTTATGACGTCTTCTGAACTTCCAATATTAACGTCCAAGGGACCTCTGTACAAGGTTCAAAACTAGTTCATATGTGGTGTGGACGTATTTTCAACGTCTTATAAGGTCTCAGTTAGACATCATTTATACTGTTTCTGAACCAAATAAACACTCTCTGAATGCATTCAATTAAAACTCACCTTTATTTATGTTTTCCATTTGTAGTTGCAAAGAAACTCACAGACACTCTTCGTCCGAAAATCATGAAAACAAAAGAAACTTCACTCAAAATTACAGTAACAATTAACAAATAACTTTTTATTTGTTTTATTTATAATTTAAGTGCAATTAACATGAAATTAATTCAATAGTCAAGTGTTCATGTAAGCCATACCTAAATAATATCTGCATAAAATCTTCAAAATTATGAAAAGAACACATAGAGAGTCTAGTGTGGTGGAACTGGAACTGACTTCTGTCCAGGTTTTCACAACATCTCTTATGTTTCTCTGGCTGCATCTGAAAACATTGGCAGCTTGCCTCGCTACCTTATGACTCGGCAGGCGTTTGCCCATGAAGATAACGAAACTGATTTCAAACAGACTTCTGAGGCCGCCTAACAGTTTAATGACCTACAGCAAAATAGTACAAGCTTTGGTAAGAACTAAACAAATACTACAGAAGTAATTTCTCTCTAGAAACCGGCAACCGCAACTTAAAAAGGATACATCTATGCTGCCTTCAAAAATCGATCAGATGAAGGTATCTCAGGAAGTGAAGCTAACATTGGATTCGGATGTGCCTTAATGCCTTCCTTCACTGTAAAAAAAGTTGCTGCCTCAAATTTTTTAGGTACAATCAACTTGTTTGTTTAATTAATTTCAACTTAAATTACATTAAACTGACTTTAAAAGTAGAAAATTGCTGAAATTATTTTGATGAGTCAAAGCAATGTAAAAACATGTCATAACTTATTGATCATATAATTTTTACAGTGTTGGAATGCGCCCTCTGAAGGCAGCATTTTTAAACTGCAGCAAAGTCTTCTTAACAACAACTTTACATCAGATTAAGTTTAGAAAATATAAAATATATTATTGTGAAGTTACGTGTTTTAGTGACCAATTTAAACAACTTAAAAGAAATCAATATAAATATACCCTTAGACACTTATAGGCCGCCTCATGAGGAAATGAACCGACAACAGGGAATTAGCAATAAAATTACAAAGACACAGAACAATATAAATCTAAAGTAAAATCAAACATTAGTTTGGCAAAACAACTAATACAAATACATTTATAATGCCTTTTCCCATTGTGTATTGTTGTATTTGTAGGCCTACTCCAAGGTAGGCTACTTCAAATAATACAATGGTATACATGAGCACAAAACAACAGGATTTTAGGTTAAAATTTGTGTAAGGATATATTTTTAGGAATATTTTGTTGTCTATCCTTGATCCACAATCTTTGAGGCAATTCATTTAAAATATGTTACACTGGAATTAATTAAGTTGAACGAAACGAGAAATTTACCTTATATTTTTTATTTTTAATAATAATTTAAAAGTCTATATTATATTATTATTTTTTGTTACTTAATTAATTGTTTTCAAGTAACATTCAGATGCAAAAAAAAGTGCCAATAGCATATAACTTTTACTAAACAAACATATTACATGAGATAGTAATGTGCTTTTTTCCATACTTTCTAAACAGCAGCATGCAGTAGGCTACGCTAGTTTTCTAATTCGCACTCAGCCAATGTCTCCACGCATGCGGATTGCGGACACCCGCACAAACCGCAGTGGGCTGGATAAACGCACGTGGTTTAATTAGCACGTGCATGGTTGCTTGTAAATTGGCGGGGAATCGCTTTTACACAGTCGGTGGATTAATTCAGAGAGCATCGAGATGACTAACCAGTGCAACTACACCGTTGAGTCAGAGAACACTGAGGGCCAAGAGGCAAGTTTGTTCGATTACATTTCCCTCACTGAGACAAAACAGGAGTTTGTTTTGTTCACACGAGGAGCCGTTCGAGACAAATGAGCATTTGTAAAAAGTAAAACTTTTGTTCCCAACAGAAGAAAGCTGTGTCGAAGAGAGGTGGAGTCGTTTCAGCCGTCCTCTGTCGGATTTCACAGTCTTGGCCAGTCAGTTTGACTGTAAGTCTGAAGTGCAAGTGAACTAACTGTGGTAAATAAGTGTTTACAAAATTGCGGCACCCTGGTAAGTTACTGAGTATCTGTCTGCTCTGGTTGGTGGTCTGTTTAGTCATTTCAAATGTCAGATTGTAAAAAAACGATCTCAAACATGTTGGCACTCTATTTTCTTATTCATTGTTTGCTGAAAGGGGGGAAAAATTTTTAAACTAGCTGATATACTAGTATTAGTGGACATTTCATGTGTCTAGGCTGGGACACTATCTAAACCATTGAGCACCAGGCTAACCAAGACCACCATAAACCAACACTGACCAGCAAACCAGTTTAAGCTGCATTTACTTATTTTATTTTCATTTAATAGGATAATTGTATATACTTTACTGTGGCTGAGTTATAACTAGCTGCATCCTAGCACCGAGTAGGCCTACCTGTCCTGTTGTAGTCAGCTTCCTAGTTTAAGCCTATAACGCAAACAACCATTTTAGATGTATGTATGTTGATTTTATTTTTCTCATTTTGTAATTTTATATAATAAAAAAAAAACTTTTTTTTTACATGTGTTATATAAATTAGTTGTAGTAAACAATTCTTTCACTTTTCCAAGTGTGGTTTTGAACACTTGCTCAGTTTTTAAATTCTGTAACTTGCTTTGATCCTGTATACCGCTTCTTCTTAAGATGCGGGCTCTCCGTGGCTTCTGGTGGCTGTTTGGCTTCTCCACACCAGTGAAGGCCATCTCTCCAGCTGGTGAGGAAAAAGGCGGATCCCCTAAAGAAAGACCGTGCCGAACGGTCCGGAAGCGTCTCCACAGGGTCACACGGCTGCTGTTGACCATCCTGCCCCGCCGCATCCAGAGAGCTCTGGGTTATCCGGTCTGCACCAGCATTGGCTGTGCTGTGTCCCCGGGTAAGCTCATCCCTCTACTTCAGATGAAATGCCACTTTCAGATATGAGACTTGAAGTGCAGCTGGTGTTTCTGCTTTAGAGGTGAGTTGCTCCCCTGCCAAGCCTTGTGGCAAAGGCAGCAAGAGAAAGCAGGATGACCTGGATGAGGAAGAGGACTTAGATCAGCAGTCCTGGGTGGAGGCGCTCACTCAGGAACTGGCCGAGGAAGACCATGTAGTTGATCCAGATTATGAGGTTTGCGCTTTTCTTTTTTCTTTCTGTCACTGCCAAATTTCGGGCTACTAATCTTCTCCTGCAGCCCAGTGGAGTTGAGACGGACAGTGAGGAATACCGGTCACACAATGACACTGAGAGTGACTTGGAAATAGAGAAGGGTGTCGTGGTAATCAAAGACTTGGAGACGGTACAGTTCTCCTCACTTATCACCACCTTTTTGCTGTTTTTAATTATTCTGACATCTTTATCCAAGTCACCTGTGTTTCTTGTTTCAGGTAGTTCCTCCTGAGGCCTAGTGATGGCAGTATGTACTAATACTAGTATGCAAATCAAGAATATTTCAACAGTTGCTGAATGTGTTCATTTGTTTGTTCTCTGGCTTTGTCTTTTTTTTTTCTTTTTTACATGCTCATTTAATGGCTTCCCATTTTGCTGCTTGTTTAGTTCATTTTGTAAATTTGTGTCTTTTCAGTGTTAAACTGTCAAATAAAAGTGTTTGTAGTACTACGTCTAATTTGGTTAAGTGTCCTACACAGTTGGCCAGTGGGTGGCAGATGCTCACTTAACTTGATAGATACACCAACACGTTATTTTGTGAAAGTTAAAATAAAATATGCAATGGTATGATAGAACTTTGTAGTTTATGAATACTGAAAGCACTTACTTTGAATTCTGTGTACACTTTTTTTTTTTTTTTTTTTTTTTAGTGTATGCATTTGTGGTCTTTGTGTATATACCCAATATAAAAATTACTTTTAAATTATTTACACAGGCAAAAATATTCCTTACCAAAAATAAATGTAAAATATTTACACGCACATGCATACACAATGTATGCGTGTATATATAAAATGCAATTTTTATATGCTCATGTTCCATGCCAAAAATTAAAATATAAATTGATGTATGCACACACATATATATATATATATATATATTCTGTGTATATAGAATATGCAGTGTGTGTATATATATAGCAGTTATATATAAATATATTTGCTGCACATTTTGGCCAGGACACTCCTGTGAAAGATTTTTAATCTCTGAGCTTTTCTTGTTAAAGGTTAAAAAAAAAATATATATATATATAATGTGAGATATTATAATATAGTATCTCATTTAAAATGATATGCACAGCCAGAATACGGGCTGTCTGAATGTTTTGGCATTAAACTGCACAAAAATGTTTTTTTGCAAAAATATATTTCAAAGATAACTGGACACCATTTGTTGAATTGAATGTGCAACATGATTGCAATATGTGCAATATGAAAGCTTTTTTTTTCATTTTGCTCAACATTTTTCAGTTCTGAAAGACACCTGGTTTCCCAGAAGAAAGCAATTTTGTGTATTGACCTGATAGGTTAAAAAAAAGAAGTATTTTAAAGGGTGCTGCTCATTTCTTATTTGTTCGTCCTCATTTTCTTTCTTTGCCTTCTCACGTCTCGTCTCAGCACCACTCCACTTCGGATGCGAGGGAAGAAAATGAGGACGAGGGAATCAAAGGAAATTTGTATATTGGAATATTCTTGATCACTCGAGTGTCACTTCAAAGCGTCATCAGCTGCGCTCAAGGGATCTGCCCTTATGTTGTAAAATTCTGGTTATTTAATAACTAATACTAAAGCACGATGCCCTGTTGAAATATGAGATGTATGGATTCAGTAGATTGTGAAGGTAAAGCATAAATTAAAATGATTTCATATTGGCATCAGGTTTTTCGACAAGAAAGACTTCCACATAGGATACACCTGTGGATCCTCACTCATGGCTCCTCTGGAAGCTTCCTTACTCCTCGTTCCTCGTGGTGCAGTTAGAGTATTGAGATGTCCTTCAAGATGGCTTTCCTTGATCAGTTTCCGGGTCACTGGCTGGAGGACGGAGGAGTGAGGAAACGAGGAAGCATCAGTTTGAGTGTTGGGAAGCACCCATTGATTACTCCAGACTCCACCTACCATTTATTAACATTTCGTCATTGGTGAAGTTGGGAAAGCAAACTTACAACCCCTTGAGGCTGATGTGAACGCGAGCGCTGGCTCCTGAAGGCACTACCACCTACACTGGTGCGCTTTTAGCCGAAGGTGAGCGCCTTTCTTGCTCCTCGAGAAGAGGGGGTGGATTGTTGCCAAGGACTCTTCACGGCCCTTTGCACACCAAGAAGATCATTTTCAAGCTGCATATGGCAGAGGAAACGCACACCCTCCCCAAGTTCTCAAATGAGCACATTTAATTCAGTAATGAAGTGGTGCGGAAGTGCGCACATATCCATGCGAAAGAACAGAGCGAATCGGGCCAACCATCAAACCGGTTCTTGTTTGTTGACCTAGCTAGGAGTTTTTCTCGTTGTTTTCTGACAGCTGTAAACAGGCGGTGAAGGAAAAACGTAATGTGATTGTTCTTGGAGGCTTTGAGAAGAACAGAGATTCTGAGGGGGTAAGAACGGGGAAAAGCCTTCAAAGTATACATCAGATCTATGGCCTGCTGGGATTTCTTAGCTGTCGGGCGTTTTTTTGAAGAGGAGACGGATGAGTCTTGGGAGAATCGTGTTTTTAGTGTGCCTGAAATAGCGCTTGTGCACCAGGAGCTCTTCTTATCCCCCTTTTCTCCTTTTTTCCTTTAATGTAGATGTTGCTGTGTGTGAGTTCGAAGCCGCCGCGATACGGTCTTCTGTGGGGTGCGATGCCTTATTCTCGATTCACTTCCTTAAGCTATGCTTAGATGCTGACTTATTGTCTGTGGATGCAATTTTATGGTGATATTGTGTCCCTTTCATGCCTTCGGTTTCCATTCTTGTCCTCGGGGTAACCTCAGGCGAGGTGTTGAGGTACATAGACGTCCTGCTGCAATTTGGCACACAAAACCACTTCCCTCGGCAGATTCTGACACCGGCTCATTGTCACCTTTCTTGAATGACAACGAGTGTCGGCAAGAGCACATTGTCCGACCTGAATGCTATTAAACAGCTAGATTATCTTACACTCCCTTTGCTTGTAATGCGATTCCATTTATTTGATATAGGGCTATCAGTGCATTTTAATTGAATTAATTATACAGTGCTTAGCATAAGTGAACACACCCATGCTAAAGTTGACTAAAAAGAGGAATACAAAATCATCTTTTGGAAATTGATCTTAATGCCTTAATTAAAAAAATGAGGAAAAATCCCACCTTTAAGGACACCAGTTTTCTTTGTGAGTGAATAATGCATCGTAAATAAATAAATGTTCTTTCTTAAAATACAGGGTGCATAAGTCAGGACAGCCCTATGTTAAATTCCCAGGCAGATTTTTATTTTTAAAGGCCAGTTATTTCATGGATCCAGGATACTATGCATCCTGATAAAGTTCCCTTGGCCTTTGGAACTAAAATAGCCCCACATCATCACACACCCTTCACCATACCTAGAGATTGGCATGGTTTATTTCAGTTAGCCTAATAGCTGGTTTGATTTGCATTGAGAGATGGTCTTATGGAAAGTACCCCATGCCAATCTCTAGGTGAAGGGTATGTGATGATGTGGGGCTATTTTATTTCCAAAGGCCAAGGGAACTTTATCAGGATGCATAGTATCCTGGATCCATGAAATAACTGGCCTTTAAAAATAAAAATCTGCCTGCCTCTATGGGAATTTAACATAGGGCTATCCTGACTTGAGTGTGTGTGTGTGTGTGTGTGTGTGTAATTAAAACATTTGAAATATTAAAGATCATATATAATTTGATGTTTCATCCTTTAGTAGCATTGTAAAGTATTGTTTTTTGTTTTATTTATTTTTTCCTTTTGTACTATACAGGTCCTTCTAAAAAAATTAGCATATTGTGATAAAGTTCATTATTTTCCATAATGTAATGATAAAAATTAAACTTTCATATATTTTAGATTCAGGCAGGTCAGGCGCTTCTGCCGCTGTTTCTGGTTCAAAAGTGGCTTGACCTGGGGAATGCGGCACCTGTAGCCCATTTCCTGCACACGCCTGTGCACGGTGGCTCTGGATGTTTCTACTCCAGACTCAGTCCACTGCTTCCGCAGGTCCCCCAAGCTCTGGAATCGGTCCTTCTCCACAATCTTCCTCAGGGTCCGGTCAACTCTTCTCGTTGTGCAGCGTTTTTTGCCACACTTTTTCCTTCCCACAGACTTCCCACTGAGGTGCCTTGATACAGCACTCTGGGAACAGCCTATTTGTTCAGAAATTTCTTTCTGTCTTACCCTCTTGCTTGAGGGTGTCAATGATGGCCTTCTGGACAGCAGTCAGGTCGGCAGTCTCACCCATGATTGCGGTTTTGAGTAATGAAACAGGCTGGGAGTTTTTAAAAGCCTCAGGAATCTTTTGCAGGTATTTAGAGTTAATTAGTTGATTCAGATGATTAGGTTAATAGCTCGTTTAGAGACCCTTTTCATGATATGCTAATTTTTTGAGACAGGAATTTTGGGTTTTCATGAGCTGTATGCCAAAATCATCAGTATTAAAACAATAAAAGACCTGAAATATTTCAGTTGGTGTGCAATGAATCTAAAATATATGAAAGTTTAATTTTTATCATTACATTATGGAAAATAATGAACTTTATCACAATATGCTAATTTTTTGAGAAGGACCTGTACATTTTAAATACCCATTTATTGGTTATTTGCCATAATATGAAAAAAAGATTGACACATTCAGTGTTGCTGTTCATCAGCGTCTTAGGGTACAAGGATGTTTTAAAGAGTCAAAAGTGGGGTCTTGAGGTTCCTCTGTCTTCTTGTGTGCCATCCAAAGTCTCTATGCTAAGTTGTAGTTGCATGAGTTTGTACTGTATATAGTTTTCTTGGTATTTTATCAGATCAAATACCTTAACTATCCCTCGAACATTACAGCTGTTACTTTACATCCAGACAAGCGTTTCTCCAGTTAAATTGAGCACATTCACAATGGGCTTTCAAACTGCTGCATTGTTTAACATATCGCAGCAGAAGATTTAGCTGCAGACGCCGCGGCTGTCACATCATTCTTCTTTAATCTATGCAGCGCCGTCTAACCCCTGCTGTTTGATGATACCGTGGCACTTCGTTTTTCCAGCATCACTCTCACAGGCGTTTTTCCCTTCACATCCCAGAGGTAATTACCTCATATGAGCACCACAGAGAGTACTCTGCAATTCTATGGCAAATTGTTCAATCGATTGGTTTGAGCTCAGGGACAGAAGATGCCGTGCCAGAGTTTTTAGTATTCAGACTGAAGAATTAATTAAAGAGCCTCTCGCTGCTACCGCACAACATGAGAGGATCTTTCTGTTGAACAAAGATACTACACCACAAAGATATTTATTGATGGACTAAACAGCTGCTTTGTGAGT